GAATTCCCCAGCCAGCATTCGCTGGCTGGGGAATTCTGGGAGTTGAAGTCCGGACATCTTCAAGTTGCCAAGGTTGAGAAACACTGCCTTAAGCAGCTTTGCCAAACTACACAGGAGGGAAAGGCAGACGGGACACGTCGGGGCAGGGGAACTTCTCCGCCTGGTTCTCACTCACTCGGCCCACCACCCCGACCCAAGGGGAGCCGCAGCAGCCGGGAAAGGCGCGGCAGGACGCCAGGGGCGAAGCCGCCCACAGACGGGACGAGCCCCCGGCAGAGCGAGCCATTCCCGCAGCGGGACTTTCTCGGGGTTCTGGGAAGAGCCAGCTGGAGGTGACAAGGGTCGTCTTTTCCCTGGGACGGAGCCGGCTAGAGGGGAGCCCAGCTGGGACAGAAGGGGAAGAGCCATCGGGGAAGCCGCAGCGCAGGGCCGCCCCCCTCCCAAGCTCTGCCCGGCCGGCCGGCCGACGAGGCTGAACTCCCCGCCGCCTCCCCGGGGGCTTCCCTCGCAGGCTGCCAGGAAAGTCCCCGCCGGAAGAGCCGGGGGAGATCGCGGGGACGCGCCTTTCCTTCTTCCACCCGCCCGTCCCACGCAGGAGCCAGAAACTTTGGCGGGACGGAGCAAGACGGCCCTTTGGCGCCGGAGAAGGACTCGCAGCCGCCTTGCCCGCGGGGCTCCCCAGCCAGCGCCCAGGTGGGGCGCACGGCCAGGCGAAGCTGCACCTGTTGACCCTCCGCCGGCGGCGCTGATGCAACCCGGGGCTCCTCTTGCAGCCGGGCGCCCGCCGGACGGGGCGCGCCAAAGGGAAGGCTCCCCAGCCCGCCCGCCCCCGGCCGGCCCGCCCCCGGCCCGCCGCCTCTCACCAGCCACGGCCGCGCAGCTCCTCGGCAGCCGGCGAGGAAGGGAAAGGAGGGAAGGAAGGAGGCGGCCGGCGGGGTGCGGGATATCTAGTGCGGGCGAGGGGCGGGCCGAGCGCCAGCGACCGCCTCCTCCAGGCGGGCTCCCCCGGGCCGCGGGCTCCAGGGGGGCGAGGCTGCCCGCTGGAAGCGACTCCCGGAGCGAGCGAGCGGCTGGGCGGCCTTGAAGCCTCCGCCTTGAAGCCTGGGATCGGCGTGGCAGAGCCGAGCCTCGGGCGGTGGGCTCCGAAGGCTCCAGCCGGGAAGAGGAGCCAGGCAGGCGGCTTCCTCCAAAACGGGGACTGGGGACTCCAGGCCGCCGCTCTCCAGACTCGGGAAACTCTCCCGCACTTTGAGCTGGGATCTGCCTTCCCGACCCTCCGGGACCACCACCTTTGCGCTGCCGTCTCAGTCAGAGCAGAGACGGGCAGCGGGAGAGGGGCTGCCTCGGAAGGCAGAGAGACCCGGGGGGGGGCATTTGCACGTGGGAACTTCTCAGAGTCACGTGTACACTTCAGACCCCCCAAATCCTCTGGAGCTGGGCTGGATTTTAATGGCCAGGGGCCAGAGACGCGGGGGGGGGGGTGGTGGAAACACACACAAAACGGTGCCTTGTTGTGGCGCCTCCTGCCGGCCAGGCCTGGAATCTCCCCAAACCTTTCCCCGGAAAACCTCCAGCCTCAACATCACAAAGGCCCCCACTGGCGGCCAATTCAGCCTGACTCCCTGCAGACACGTGTAGGGAAGGTGGAAAAAGAAAGGGCAGCTCTTTGTGCTGGGGGAGCAATTCCGTTAGGTCAGCTAAACAAACGGGCAGAAGATACCCAGAATGCCCGCAGCGGACAGAAACTCCGAAGAATTGCAAAAAGAGAAAGAAAAAAGAATGCCGAATAATTGACAAATAAAAAATATTTGGGTGAGCACAGCACATTTGCATGTATGAACTACCACAGGTAGTTCCTGGGGTGTCTTTTCCTTCGCCCTAAACCCCTGCCAGTCCTCTGATCCAGCTGCCCTGGGCTGGTTCTCGTTTGAGAAGATGCAGTCAGCCGCCCTTGGACAAAACCAGAGGGAAATCCCCCTCTACTGTTTTGGCAACTCTTGCTGGAAACATCTGGTCCTGTGGGTTGCTGTGGGCTTCCTTTGGGGTGTCGTTTTCTAGCCCTGTTCTACGAGGACCCAGACTTTGGGGGCGATATGCTGACTCTGTAAACCGCTTAGAGAGGGCTGAAAGCCCTATGAAGCGGTATATAAGTCTAACTGCTACTACTGCTATTACTACTACTTAGGCCTCCACCCAGGTAACCCGTATGTTAAAAAAAAGCAGTCTCTTCAGACCAATGGCGTTTTTATTTCAGTCTCGTTCCTCCTCTTAAAAACATTTAAGGACAGTTTACACACCCGGGGACGTTACAAGTGTTATGACAGCATACAGAAAAAGTGGAAAACAAAACAAGCAATGGCTTTTTAAGCTTCCAATTTCTTTCCACCGCAGGCCTACTTTCCGCACCCACCCCCTTGGACCAGATCCCAACTCAGGCCACGATAAGCGTAAAAAACACAGTGACAGGTGAGAGAAAGGAGTCTCGAACTAACCTTGCCGGAAAAACAAAAACAAAAAAGCCAGCCCTTTCTCCCTCCCTTCTATCCCGCTGGTCCAAGGAGATACGAGCTGCGCTTAGCTCTCCTCCCTGCCATCCATCCAGATTATTTGAATTCCCCTCTACAGTTTCGGCAACTCTTGCTGGAAAAACTTGCCAAAGCCGCCTCTTCCTTCATCGTACTCCTTTCGGTACTCGTCTCTTACCTGGAGAGAGAGAGAGAGACCCCAAGATAAGATCCAGCTGACAACAGAGACTATTACAAAATAGGAGCTACCCTCCATTCTGGATGGGTGCTGCAAAAGCCATCCGTGGACGGTCACTCGGGAAGAAGCTTGCAAAGCATATTCTGAAAGCACCTCAGCCTGGAAGCAGCCTGCAATTGGCAAGTTTCCCTTTCCTGCTCTCTCCACAGCCTTGATACAGCCCCCCTTGGCTCACGTAACTCAAGGACTTTGCATGGAGAACAAGAGAGCACAGTGGTAATTACACCAGAAATCTATAATAAAGACTTAAAATATCTGATTGTAAACGTGCTAACAGCAGCCAGAATCGTATTTGCAAAAAAACTGGAAAAACGAAACAATACCAAAACAGGAAGAAGTTATTCGAAAAATAATGGATTGTGCTGAAATGAGTAAATTGACATTTGAAATTAAGAGAACAAGAAGATGAGCAATTTTATAAGATATGGGACTTTTTTATCAGTGGCTGAGGGGGGAAAACTTGGAAATGAAAAATGTTTTACCCATGTTCTAACTGAAGGAGTTAAATGACAACACAATTACGCTGTGAAATAGATTAACAACGATACAATGGAAAACGAATACATCGATGAATTGAATACTTTAGAATTTTTGTTTTAAAGTGGATAAGGATAACAATGATTTTATGTATACTTGATAGAGGATTGGTGATATAATGTATAANATCGCTCGTATCCCTCCTATTTAGGAGGGAACGGGTTATCCTGAACAAGGCGGCTGGTTTAGTATTATATTTTAACTCAGGCAAATTACATGTATATTTATCCTTTCAGAGAAGGTTAAAAAAAGAAAAAAAGTCATATTTCTACATGACCTCAAGCACTGTTTTGGAACAGATACATGCTTTGGTCTTGGTTTCTTAGGCCCTGATTCCCACAACACTACTGTACTCCACAACTCTTGGGGAAAGCTGAGTAGATATGTTGCCATTATCTATTTTACTCCAGATAAATAATCTCTGCCCCTGATTTACCAGGGAAGAGGCAAATCTCTTGTTCTGCTGCTTGATTTGAGGACCAGTCAGGCTAAAAGCTAGCTCTTTTCCCCATGATTAACACCACTGATTCATACAAATTCAAAATCTTTATTTACATGGCAAAGTCAGAGACCTTGAATAAAATTGAAAAGAGAAGAAACACATTATTGTTCTCTGAAGAGTTTGATCCCAGTCTCTCTCAGCTCAGGGACTGTTTCCTCTGTTCCCAGATCTTACACGCACAGCAGAACACATTGTATACATGATCTCAACCCATGAAATAAAACACACTCTCTTCTGTGTAGTCTACTTAACTGATCCTAGCTTATAAGCCCAATTCACTAGATTCCTGGGCATTGCAGCCTTATTTTGTTCCAACCAGCCTTGAAGGGAGTCCATGTCCTTTAACATTTTCAGTGTCTGAACCTAGTGACAAACATAACAAGCTATTATCAGCATATCTCAGCCTCATTCTCCAAGTAGGTATGAACCTGGTTAACAAAAGAGCTTAAGAAAGCAACCAAACTCAAATAACACGAAGAACCTATCTAGAATTTAACTACTTACCAGCTGGCGTTTTGGTTTTCCTTTAAACTTGCAGAAACTATGACTTGACCAAGTACTTTTATGCAAGTCAAAAGCATACAGTTATGTTTTCCTGTGTGCCTACTATCGTGGCATGAGCCATTTCACAACACTGATTTGTGGAAAGGCTGCTTATGCAACATGTGAACTGAAAAGTTGTTTATAAACACAACTCAGGGACAACCAATTTGCCAGATGAGAAAACATCTGGAAGCAGTCCATTTCAACAGAAGGGAAGGAGAAAGAAATTCTTGATCTTGGGGCATCCATGTGTATGGAACCAAATTCTTGACTTTTGTAGAAGTTATTGTTTACTGTAAGGTAGTCTGTATCTGCAATAAAGTATCTACCCCAGCAGCATCTTTAACTTCCTGAGAAAATGCTGGTTTCTTAGAGCTATTAAAAGGTCCCAGGACAATCTTTGATAACAAAGCCAGTTTTCATTCCACATTCTCTCTTTGCACACTCTCTTGACCAATGCATGGCTGTTTCACCATATTCCCCCATCCTTGACTCTGTTGCTAATTGGTTCCATCAAACAGTAGGCATTTAGCACCATCATCTTGAGAAATGTTCCTTATCTGCATGCCTTGAGTCTTGTTTGGCGAAGGGAGAAAATAAGTATGTAAGAGAATCCAAATTTTAAGAGAGTTTGGGAATTTAATGACATTCACCACCAGAGGGTATGTGGGTGGATGGAGGAGATCCCTCTGGAATAGACTGGAAACAATCTATGGCATCAATAGTGTGATGAGTCAGTTCTGGTGCACACATCCAATTTTTTTTACTACATTCTTGCTTCAGGCCAAAGTGGTTCTGAAGGGTTTTGGAAAACACAGTTAGTTTGTCAGATACAAAAACATGCCATGGGCCATGCAATTCCTTTCCAAATCTCCCCAATTCTTCCAGAAAATGACCATCTATCTCTAGTCTTATTCAGACAGACTTCTCCACCCCACCTATTTGCCATTTCGGTTTATCAGTTCTCTGGGGAATTCTTTTGAAACCAATTGTCATTTACTTGGTAAGCACACTGTGTTACTTATATGCTGTAAAGGCTGAACATTTGGTGTAAATATAATTCACTCTTGCTTAATTTTCTCCCAGGCGTTAGAATTTATTGCTTACCAAAAAATACATTTCATTTTCATTGGGATTAGGTTTATGCAAAGCTTGGCATGGATTCAGTACTTAAGGTATAACTTGGAAACACAGTTTGGCAACCTAACACAGCCTTCTCCAATTTGGGACACTTGAGATCCAAACTTAGTTACAGGTTGGAAATGAGGATGGATGAATCACTTAGTGGGAAATCTGTGCTTCATCTATACCTTAAGGCAAACTAAGTTTCTGATTTCTTCTGCGATATTTGCTTTGGTTAAGTTAGGATAAAATAGATTTATCTGACAGTCCTGTACATATTTCTTTCCAATGAGTTCAGAAATTCACTGAATTCCAAAGGATTTACTCCCAAACAAAATCCTTTATATAGGATTATACCATTGGTTTAATTAACTTTGATAACAACACTCTGACTTCAATAACCTATTAATCTGATTTTGTAAGCAATATTCAAGCTAGCATTTTTGCTCCTTCAACTATTCCATTTTCATAATAGTTTTCAAAGCCGTTACCACATTATAACCAGCCTAAACTGTTGAGCAATAACCTCCAAAATGTAACCTATGAGCTAGAAAGTAAAATCACATGGACCCAATGTTGCTTGCCATCTTTAAAATGATTCCAATAAAGTAGTTGGAAGAATACTCTGTAAACATAGGTTATGTACAATATTTAAGATCTGTAATAAATAATATAGGAAAAAGGCTGTTCTTACAGAGATACCTCTAAAAGGATGGAAGTTGAACCCACCACATGTGTATTTGGTACCGGATTATAATGGCATCTAAAAGGGAATGGGGATTTTGTTTTTATCTCTTATTTATAGGGCTCTGATCTCTGATGTGGGTCCATCTCCACATACCATTATACCTATCTTCTCTCCTGGCAGATAAAAACTCACAGCCTGTCCTCTTTTCCACCCTGTATCAGATGGGCAAATTCTAGCTGGAATAGATGGTCCTGAAAAACCCAGCCTCCTCCAAGCAGTACAGATCAGGAGATGTAATAACCAATACCTAGAACTGAACCCCAAAACACATTGGCAGCCAAAGCACCTCCCTCCCTGTTACATGATTGTAGTAGTCCTCACCCATGATCATGTGGTCCACTGCAGTTTGCATTAACAACTTCCAGCGACAACCACACTGGAGCAAATCTATGATGGCTTGCTTTCTCCAAACTACACTGTTAGGGGATTAGATGTGTTAACAGTAGAAAAAATATACGGTGCTATGGCATCATCATGTCAATTGTGTTTTTTAGGCAGTTGGGTAGTATGCATTTTAAAGAAAATTGAAGTCACTGAAGCTTATGAATGCCATTTGCTCCCCTTTCCCACCTGGTTGGAAAAGCTGTAAAGGCCATTCAGCTGTCATTGAAGATTGTGAATGCCAGTTGTTCTCTATTCATCTGGAAGCAAAAGCTTTCAGCATCCACCAAGCCCATCTCCACTGTGCCATGAGCGAAAGTATTCATTGTTGGGCTAGCAGTCATCTTCAGCTTTGGCTTCCTCCTATTTATCACTTTGTATTAAAACAATCAGATCTGGGTACATTTACAGGCCCAGAATGAGAAAAACATAGCATACACAAGGGAGTGAATGTATACACATTAAGATCCATGCTACCTATATTTGAAATACAGCCTAGTAGACATGATTGAGTTTGTTTTGTTACTTCATCTATTGGTCATAATCCAGATAACGTTAATTGAAGTATGAGAATTAAACATTTGGTTAAACCTCTCTTGCCAAAATCAATGGAGCTAAAAGCACTTGCCTTTGATAGGTTACATCTACCCAGATTATAGTTTGGGAAAGTTGCTTTGCTGGATTAGGCCATTGATTCCTTCTACTTTAGCCCTTTGCTTTCAAGAGACAGTTTGCCAAAACTGAAAATTAAACTCAGCTGCAATATAAAGGGGCGATAGGATAGCAGGAATCTTATTCTGACTATCTCAACTAATCAACAAGTCCTCTGAAGCATGGTATTTGACTTCATATGATGGATATTTTTTTCTAAAAAAGAAATGGTTCTTGAGATTGGCAAAATTGCAGTTATCAGAGGAACTAAACTCATTTGTATGGTAAGTTTTGATTTAATAGCTTTTTGTGCTGCAATAAACGATTACTGAAGGCTTAAGCCAGTACACTACAGGGTTTGTGACCTCAGAACGTGAGACTGTTCTGTAACTGTTCTCTGTCAGATATCTAATTGTGGCAGAAGCATGAATAAATGTAACAAAATCCAATGAAGCAGATAAATATTGAGATCCACAAATAACAAATTAGGTTTTTGCTTTATATCAAAAGGCAAGTCAATATAAAAGCAGAAACTTGTATTAGATTAACTGATATCAAACCGTTTAGAGGCCTGTTATTTTGTGGCATTAAAGGGGAGCTAATCTGTTGTTTCCAGTGATGTGTTAAGGAATCCTGCCACTTAACAAATTTTATGCCCTTCAGTTGCTATGCACTCTTGCTTATTGCATGATGACAGCAGCCCAACAGTAGTGTGCTACAAAAATCCTGAAAACTGAATTTCCTCAGCAATTGCTGCAAGCAGGTTTTGTAGGGTAGTAGTGGTAATGTTTTATCTCTGTATTTCTGCATAAAGGAAACCCACTTAACAGTGAGGTCACTCTGTGTTCATAGATGTTCTTGTTCTCATGAGACAAGCTGCCTGACGTGTGTCTTTCTTCCCCTTTTCAATTTCATCAATCTGACTTATAAACAAGGCCTTGAGTCCAGCTTTGATGGCTTCTATACCTATCACAATATGTTCAGTTAACACACTGAACAAAATGTGCAAGGATAGAGCCATTGAATATTCTTTTTATTTTGCTTCATTGAAGCACTAACATTCTTGGGTACAAAGGAGTAGAGTAGAGTAGAGTAGAGTAGAGTAGAGTAGAGTAGAGTAGAGTAGAGTAGAGTAGAGTAGAGTAGAGTAGAGTAGAGTAGAGTAGA